CATGGCCTCCTGGCAGCCTCACCAGCTCCCATCAGCCTTGTCCTCAGCAGTCTCGAGCCATCGCGACGCTGCTGCAGCAGAGCCGTGAGCGTAAACCTTTGCAGTTGACAGCGGTTTCGGCATCGTCAACCTCGTCGCGACGCTGCTGCAGCAGCGCCGCGTGATGTATTTCGCGCCCCTCTTAGTTTCACTCCCACCTCAAAATCAGCAGTGTGGACAGTGTTCTGGGACTGCGTGGGTGGGCGTTGGGGTGGGCTGGAGTGCTGGATGTTGGCATCAGGATGGCTGATCTGAGGTCGAACGGGAGCTTCGGGTGAAGCGATCTGAGAGCGTCGGTGCCCCTCTGCAGAGGTGATGCTGTCTGACAGCGGCGTGTCTGTTCAATAGCCCCCTCTATTGAACAGCCACGCCCGTGTCTGTTCAATAGCCCCCTCTATTGAACATGCCATGTTCAATAGCCCCCTCTATTGAACAGCCACGCCCGTGTCTGTTCAATAGCCCCCTCTATTGAACAGACACGCCTCTGTCGATGTCCCAGCTGCCTTCGAGGCTCCCAGATCGCTTCGGTATTTGCTCCTGATCACACTTCGCGCATCTCCTGGATCCGTCCCGCGCCCTCCTCGGACACCTTCCGTGTCCCTCCTGTGTCTGCCCGCCCGCCCGCTCCCGAGCTCCCGCGTATACCTATCCGTCTCCCGTGTCTCTCCCGCGTCTCTCCCGTGCCCCTTCCGTGTCTCCACCTGCCTTCCGTGCGCTCCCGCCCGTGCCCCTCCGCACCGCTCCCGCGTCCGTCCGCCCGCTCGCCCCCGAACTCCCGTGTCCCTCCCGTGTCTCTTCCGTGCCCCCCCCCCCCGTGTTTCTCCCATGTCCCTCCCACCCCTCCGTGTCTTTCGCACCGTCCCTTCCGTGTTCCTCAAATGATCATGCATCCCCCCCCGTGTCCTGCCCGCCCGCCCGCCCGCGCTCGTGTCCTTCCCTCCCGTGTCTCCTCGCATCTCCCCCCGCCCCCCCCCCCCCCCTCGTGTCCCTCATTATCTCCCTCCTCTCCTTTCCATCACTCTATATCTCTCTCCCTATTGCCCACTACCATGCGTTCCATCATGGTGCGCATGCATAGCGCTGCAGCGCTTCATGTTACTTTGTGACGATGATTTCTGCTGAGCGCTGCAGCGCTCACGTGTGTTCCTTAATTGCATGCGATCGTTGCGCTGCAGCGCATCTGTACTGTTGTGGCCTCTCTTCCACCTCAGCAGCCGAGTGCTTCAGCTCTCGCAGTGTGGGAGGCCCTCCCTCGCGCTTCCCCTCGGAGCGTCCGCGCACCCCCTCGCCCTCGCGGAGGGCATCATGTCTGCCGCGGCTGCGGCCACACCCATCAACCACATCCTGGATAACCTGGACAGCTGCGACGCCTTCTTCGCATCGCAGATCGGCGTCATCGCCGCCGACGCGATGGCGCAGAGCCAGTCCGCCTTGTCCATGAGCGTGCAGCTGCAGCTTCACAACTTGGGGGCGATCGGGGCTGCCCAAGCAGCTACCCTGCAGAATCGAATCACCGCGTCGGGCTTCGCGGACAGCCACAAGGCGCGCCTCAGCGCCGCGCTGGCCGCGCGCGTGGGCACGGCGACGCCCGCGCTCCAGATGCGCGTGCAGACGCTCGCGTCAGGGCGGTGCTATCCATCGTGCTTTGCACATCGGACCGCCGACGTGTTATTCACATGTATGGTTTAATTGTTTGTTCTGTACTTTGTGTATGTTACCATGTTCATTTTTCAAATGTACTTATGTTAGCATGCTGCAGCATGCCTGCGCCGATTCGTAGGCTGGTGGACTTTACCATGCAGGACTGGGGTTTATTTCGCGACCCCAGCCAGAGCATCGTCGCGAAGGTGCGCGCGTTGATCAAACGTTGCGGTGCCATCGGCTTGACGGTTCCGGGCGAGAACACGCTGAAAGAGTTGGCGGCGTTGATGGCATGCGCCCATCTTCCAGACGCAAACCCTGGGCAGCTCTACGGGATCGTGACGGAGATGAAGGTTTGGGATTCGGCGGGAACGCCTAACGCAGACGCATCGCATCGCGCTGACTGCAGCCAATGCGATGCGGCGCGTCAGCGTTAGGGTTCCCCGACGAGTCGCCCTTTACAGGGTCAGCTCTTGGCGAGCCGCAGGGGCGCGACGGGGCAAGCGGCGACAGTGACTTGGAATTTCCCAGCAGATCCTCGGCAGCTCCCTCAGCACATCTTCGACGCGGCGCGCGCCGATGCGGACCCGCCGATCGATGTGACGCGCGACCTCGCCAACGTGGTATCGCATCTACGAGGCTGCTGCCGCCCCGTCATGCGCTGCAGCGCTGATTGTTCTGGATGTCTTGGGTGCTTCGGTGAGCTCGGTCCTTTAGGTCCACCTCGCATAGAGCATGATAGGTTTCATGCTACGCGTGCGCCGCTGAAGCGGCCTGCGGGTCTCAACGCCATCAAGGCTCGCGCGCCTCTCAGGCTGACCAACAAGGGCTTGCGGGCTGCCGCCCCGCCGCATCAGCCGAGCACTGCCATTGTGCCATGGACACCATCGGGGTCGCCCTCCGTGCCGCCTGCAGCGCCAATGCAACCCATGGACGCGATGGCCGTGATGCAGCAAATGCTGGCAGCGTTTGCGCCACCGCCATCGCCGCCCAACGAGCTGCAGCTGCAGCTCTTCCCGCGCCGCCCTGCGGCGCCCACGGCGAGCCCCCCCGCGAGTCCCCCCGCGATTGGCGATTCGCCAGCTGGGCCAGCATTGCCAGCGGCGGCGCCAGATGCTGCTGCAGCAGCGCCAACGCCGCCAAACGAAGATGCTGCTGCAGCAGCAGACGGAGACGAGGATGCTGTGCTGCAGGCGATCGAGACCTTGGCTGCGGGCAGCGCGAAGGGCGAGCTGCCTCGCAAGGGCAAGGGCAAGGGCAAGGGCAAGAAGGGCAAGGGCAAGAGCGCGATCAAGGGCAAGAGCAAGACAGGCGCTGGCAAGGGCAAGACGGCGGCCAAGGGCACGGCCAAACCGAAGGCCAAGGGCAAAGGGAAGGCCAAAGCCAAAGCCAAAGCCAAGCCCAAGGGCAAGGCGGCAGCCAAACGGGGCCAAATGGCACTCGGGTGCAGCAAATGCCGCTACCTGCCGAATGGCTGCGGCACGTGCCGCGACCCGAACTTCACTGGCCGTCGCGGCAAGCCGTGAGCGCGCAACGGGCACTGTCGGCATATGGAGGTGAGGATGAGGATTATGAGGGCGAGGAGGAGGATGGGTAGGATGATGAGGAGGATGAGCATGTGGAGGAGGAGGAATGAGGAGGATGGTGAGGATTAGTGCGAGGTTGGATGGAACGCTGGCCGATGATATGAACGGTAGTGGCGATGGTCATGCCTGGCGGTCGCGCGGCTCGCACGGACGACGAGGAGGATGAAAGTCAAATATGTTGACGGGTTCTCTTGGATGCGGGCGCTGCAGCGCTGGCGCCTTTGTGTTCAACGTTTGCATCGCCATAATGATCACGATGCAGCGCTGCAGCGCCTGTCAGACTTGTGGTGCCGCTGTAGCGTTGGCGCGTTTGTGAGTGTGCAGTTGCAGCCGCGGTGTCCATGTATTGCGTGACGTGCTCGTCTTGAGTGCCAGTCGCTCCTCGTCGATACGCGCTGCAGCGCCATCATTCGTGATGTCGAGCGTTGTCTCCCGCATGGTTGTTGCCAAGTCACGCGCTGCAGCGCTGTGGTTCGCTCATGTTGCGCGTTGCCGATGGCATGCCCTCCTCCCCCTCCTCCTCCCCCTCCTCACTTGGCTCGCGCGTCGCAGTCGCCATCGTTCGCTGCAGCGGGTGCTGGCAACGGACCTCCTCCGCCTCCTCACTGGGCTCGCAATGGCGGCGCGCCGCTGCGACAAGCCGTTCGAAGCGCACGCGCGCGCAGACCGTCGCGACGAGTTGCGCGAGGCCCGCGCGAGAGCGACGGCGACTGCTGCAGCAGAGGTGAAGGAGGCGCGGAAGAACGCCAGGAAAGCGGAGAAGCAGGTGCAGATCCGCACCGCGGAGCTGCAGGTGGATGAGGAGGCGGATGAGAAGGAGGACGGTGGGGTTCATGAGTGCGGCAGGCTACTCCCCCGCTGCAGCGGGGGAGAAGGACGACAGGGGGGATGATCAGGAGGAGGTGGAAGGCGATGATGTGGGAGGATGAGGAGTATGAGTAGCAGGGTCGGGGTCAGATGGACATCGCCGCTTCGGACGTGGCCAACCAGAAACTCAACGAGGCGTTGACCTCGCTGCGGAACGCCAAGAAGATGAAGGTGACCTGAGTGAGGTCGGCCTCGGCGACCGCCTGCTGAAGCATGCTGGTTCGATTGATTGGTAAAGGCTGGAGGGAACGTGGTTGAGCGTGTTGTTTGAGTTGCGCTGCAGCGCTTCTCCGTGGACCACGGTTGAAAGTTTGCGCGCGGATCATGATGTGTTAATGTGTTGCGCTGCAGCGCAGTTTCGCTTGCAGTTTCTCGTTGGATGGTGATGTGGCGGATGATGAGGGCGAGCGATATTGATGCTGTTGACGATGAAGGTGATGGTGACGGGGAGGATGAAGGGACGGGAGACGGGTGATGAGGAGGATGGGTAGGTTGAGGGGGAGGATGGGGAGGATGAGGGGGCGCATGAGGCGGAGGAGGAGGAGGGGGAGGAGGAGGAGGAAGAGGATGAGGAGGAGGTATAGGAGGGTGAGGAAGAGGAGGAGGACGAGGGGTATGGCGAGCAGGATGGAGGACGAGGAGGACGTTCGCGCTGCAGCGCGTCAGATTGTCATCATTGAACGTTAGCGGCGCTGTAGCGCCATGTGCTCCCAGACTGTTGCTTGGCAGTTAGCGCTGCAGCGCGCATTTGGTTGCTCTCCACGCGGTGCAGCCTCATTTCCATCCGTAGTCGCCGTGGCCCCTAGCGGAGGGGCCCCTCCGCGCGCGCGCAGCGACGGAGGCAAGCTTGCCTCGGGAACGCGCGCGATGGCGGCAGAGGACGACCGCCCAGCGAAGCTGCGGCGGCTGTCCCGCCTTCGCGCGGAACTGCCATTCATGCATTGTAATGCGATGGCGCAATTCCTGGCGTCCGTTAAGCGAGACGGAATCCCCGAATTGGGATCCCGACGCCAGGATATCAGAGACGCTCGGGAGCTCATGGTCGGTGAGAACACGCCGCGCGGCAAGCTCCACCAGAACATGATAGTCGGGCAGCACGCGGTGGAGATCTGCAGTCCAGCAGCAATGCTGTGGTATTGCAGCGCCCTCCCCGCGATGCAGCCTCTGTGGCAGCGGGCGCTGGAGCTGCCACGCCCGTGGCACATCATCATTTACGGCGATGAAATAGGCGCTGGCAACGCGCTGGCGCACGTGCAGAACCGCAAGTCCTGGGGCATCTACTGGACGATCGCGGAATTCGGCCCGCAGGCGCTTTCGTCGGAGGACTTTCGCGATAGCGTTGCTGCAGCAACGATATATGCGGGGGGGGGGAGGGGGGTAGAGAGAGAGAGAGAGAGAGAGAGAGAGAGAGAGAGAGAGAGAGAGAGAGAGAGAGAGAGAGAGAGAGAGAGAGAGAGAGAGAGAGAGAGAGAGCGAGAGAGAGAGAGAGAGAGAGGCGCTGCAGCGCCAGTTGTGCTGCGATTTGTTCGCAGGATGCGTGGTTCCAGCTCGCGACGATGCGGGCCAAGACCGCGAACGACATCCAGCCGCGCGGACTGACGATGCTACTGGACGCAATCCTCGCGCAGTTCTGGCCTGATCAGGGGCGCAACTTCAGCGCAGGCATCAGCTTGCGGCTGCGCCCCGACGGCGCGACGGAGCTCATCCAGATGGACCTCGGAATTTACATGCAGCCGCTGCAGCGGTCGCCGCATAGCACCCAAGATTAGTTAGCATACATGTGCACATGTATATATCCATTACGCCTTCTTGCGTCGCTGCAGCGGCTCTGTCGGATCGCGGACGAGGATGCAATACACCGCTTGATCGGAATGAAAGGTTCGTCAGGAATCAAACCATGTTTTATGTGCCGCAACGTGTTCTTGAAGGGCGAAGTTCGGGATATAGTTGCTTCTGATGCGACGGGTGTCGCTGTTCACCACTCGGAACCAGATGCGTCGCGGCTGCAGCCGATGACGGCGCCGTTGCTCGATGCCATCTGCAACAGGTTGATCGAAGGGGTCAACATCGTGAGCAAGGGCGAGTTCCAGGAGTTGGAGCGCCGGCTTGGCTGGAACTGGGACCCCCATTTGCCTGGGCGGGTTCGGAAACTCAAGCCGCTCGAGACAGTCATGTTTGATTGGATGCATTGTAGTTTCGTCAACGGTGCATATAACATTCTGGTGTTCCAAATGTTTCGAAGGTTGAAGGGTTACTGGGCGCGCGCAGACGCATATTTCCAGGACTGGTCGTTTCCAGGGTGCCACTCCATCTCCCCCGACACGTGCGCGATCTTCGGCGAGAAGCGCGTGAGGTCCCACGTTGACAGCAAGCATTTCAAGTGTACCGCCAGCGAGGGGCTCACAACCATGCAAGTATCATTGCATGCTTCGCGCCCCCGTCAGACCAATAATACATGCGCTGCAGCGCACGTGAATTTCTGTAGGATATGTACTGCACCCCTCTTGTTCGGACATGCGTTCGCGCGGGCGGATTGACGCGTTTCTTCAGGGAGGTGGCCAGCGACGCTGCAGCGCCTGCAGTCCGATCGGCTTGCGCAGTGTTCGAGGCGCACACGATCGTTGTGGAAGAAATCCTACGAGTATCCAGGCGTCAGGCAGACGCGGATAAGCTGCAGGCTGCGGTTAACAGGTTTTTGCTGTCATACAGCAGCGTCTTTGGCAAGGAAACGACGGCGCAGAAGTTCCATTACCTGCGCCACTTCGCCAACTACGTGAGGCGTTGGGGCCATGTGGCGCTGCCGTCGTGCTGGGTTTTGGAGCGCAAGCACAAGGCCAGCAAGCGCTTTGCGAACGCTCTTCAGGTGGGGGCCGCAGCCTCCAGCGGCTGGGACGCCAATGTCCTGAAGAGCGTCACCGAGCGGCACCTGTGGCAGCTCATGGATGGCGACACCTTTAAGGTTAACTGCCTGGTTAACGCCACCAGGCCGTCCAAGGCCATCTCGCGCGAACTGCTGCAGCAGTTCGGGCCTGCGGACTTTGTTACGTCCGCTGCAGCGCGGTGCCGCTACCACGACGTCAAATACGGCGACGTCGTGCTGTTGGAGGACGGAGGAGGGGAACACATTGCGGCCGAGGTGTTGAAACACCTCTCCTTCACCAAGAACGGCCACTACTATGGCTTGAGCTTGGTCCTGCCCTACTTCTTCAAGGAGAAGCTGCACCCGCGCGCCTCCGCGCACGTGCTTGGCGGCGATGCCGACGCCTTTTGGGCGCACACGGCGAGCATCGTGTGCTCGCTCGCGTGGGCGCCGCGCGAGGGCGGCGGCATCCGAGTGGCGCGCCCGATATGGTCGCAGCCGCGGTGGTGCGCTTTAGCCTAAAACGTGGATTCCTTACTGGCGCTGCAGCGCACTTTTTTACATTGCTAAATGCTTCGGTGCTGCAGCACCTGAACGTTGCATGGTCGACGACTCCTCTTCTCCGCCTTGAAAACGTGGATTCCTTCTGCATAGCGCACCTTTTTCATTGACACTTCGGTGCTGCAGCACCTGAACAGTGCATGGTCGCCGATTCCTCTCCTCCGCCTCGTTCCTCCTCCTCCTCTTGCGCTGCAGCGCTAATGTCGTTGATCAGTGGTGCGGTCGTTCAAACTCCTCCTTCCCCGCATCCTCCCCCTTCTCCCCCTCCTCCTCCTGCTCCTACTGCTGCTCCTCCTCCTCATCTTGCTCCCCCTCCCCCTTCTCCTCTCCCCCCCCCTCCTCTGACGAGGGGGGGGGGGGGGTGGAGGAGGGGGGGGGGGGGGGGAGGAGGAGGAGGAGGGAGGAGGAGGAGGAGGAGGAGGAGGAGGAGCATGAGGAGGAAGGAAAACGACGAGACAGCTCAGAGCGAGAGGAGGATGGGGGGAGGAGGGGGGGGGGGGGAGGGGGGAGGAGAGGAGGAGGGCGAGGAGGAGGAGGAGGAGGAGGAGGAGGAGGAGGAGGAGGAGGAGGAAGGGAGGAGGAGGAGGAGGAGGAGAGAGAGAGGAGCTAGGAGGAAGAGGGGGAGGAGGAGGAGGAGGAGGAGGAGGAGGAGGGGATGAGGGGAGGAGGAGGACGAGGGAGGAGCGGAGGGTTAGGAGGACGAGGAGGAGGATGAGGAGGAGGAGGACGAGGGAGGAGTATATGATGATGACGAGAGGAGGAGGGCGAGAGGAGGAGGCGGAGAGGAGGAGGAGGAGGAGGAGGAGGAGGAGGAGGAGGAGGAGGAGGAGGAGGAGGAGGAGAGGGAGGAGGAGGAGGAGGAGGAGGATAGAAGGAGGGGAGGAGGAGACGCCGCCCGCGCGCGTGCGGCTTACAGGCCGCGCGGGGAGCGCGCCCTCCCTTTTCCCTTTGCTTCGCGGCTCGGGATCGCCATCGAAAAACATATCAAGACATGTTTTTCGATGGCGACCCCGAGCCATGGGGCAGTCTCCTCTCGGAGGACCCCTCGGGGATGTCGGGGATCCTCCTCGACATCCCCGAGGGGTGGGACGGGCTCGGCAGCCATCGGCCCGTCGCACGTCGTCGTCCCCCAACCCTCTGGGTTGTGGACGACGGCTACGTGCGGTGGGCCGCTCTGGCTGCCGAGCGGCGCGCGGGGCCCCCCCGCCGCCCGCGCCAGCGGCAATGCCGCTGGAGATGGCGGCGCAGAGCGCGGCGCAGGCGAACTTCGCCTGCGCCGCGCTCAGCCGCGCCAGGCTGCCGCTCGACGCGGCGGCCCTGCAGGGCCGCCGCGTCGAGCGGCCGTCTTGGGCTGAGGCGCGCCCGTCGCCGCCTCCGCCGCCGCCTCCCCCTTTCCTCCTCCTCCTCATCCTCCTCCCCGTCCTCCTCCTACTCCTCCTCCTCCTCGACATCTCCTCCTCCTTCTCCTCCTCCTCATCCTCCTTCTCCTCCTCCTCCTCTCTCCCCCTCCTCTTCCTCCTCCTCCTCCTCCTCCTCTTCCTCCTCCTTCTCCTTCTCAGAGTCCGCTAACCACTTAGTAAGTCCGCTAACCACTTAGTAAGTAAGCTAGCTAGCGGACTTACTATGTGGTTACTAAGTGGTTAGTAAGTGGTTACTGGGTGGTTACTAAGTGGCAGCTAAGTGGTTACTAAGTGGTTAGTAAGTGGTAGCTAGAGTGGGGACTTAGCGAGCTAACCTCTACTAGAGACTTAGCAAGGTTAGCCTCCAGCTATAAGTGGTTAGTATCTCCTACTAACTAGGTGTAGCTGGTTATACAACTTACATCCGACTTACAACACTTATAACCTACTTACAACTCACTTGTACGTACATACTAAATCCTCTAACCCCTTAGTATCCGCGCTAACCACCTAGCAGCCGCCGCGGCCATCCAAGTACCACCTACCCTGGACCTGGAGGGAGGGTTTCGCGAGGAATTGGAGCGCCCAAGATGGCCCAATATGGCTGCAAGAGGGCCTCCAAGAGCCCCAGATGGTCTCCAATATCTTGCAAGATAGCCCAAGATGGTTCAAGATAGCTTTCAACATGCATCCAAGAGCTCTCGAGACCGCCCCAGGACGGCTCCAAGTGCCTGTCGAGCCCTCCAAGGAACCCATCAAGAGGCCAAAATATTTGAAATCCCTTGTGTTTTTTTTCACAGTTTTCTGCATCATCGCCTTTTCGCGTTCGATGGGCCCCTGAGGCCTCAAGATGGCTCCATGATGGCCCAAGAGGGCCCCAAGAGGGGCCCAGGAGGGCCCCAATACCGCCCCAAGAGCGCTCAAGACCGCCCCAAGAGCGGCCCAAGAGGACCCCAAGAGGCACATTTTCGGGTCCCGACGGGGGGGGGGGTGACTTCAGGACCCCCCTCCTTATATGATCGATTGCCCCAAGAAGGCCTTCAACGCATCAAATATGGCCTCAAGAGGGCCCCAAGAGCGCCCAAAGAGGGCCCCAAGAGAGCACCAGGAGGGCCCCAGAGGCCTCCAGGATAGCCCAAAGAGGGCACCCAAGGCTTCCAAGAGGGCCCCAAGAGCGCCCCAAGAGCCCAAGAGGGACCCCAAGAGCGCATCATGAGGGCTCCAGAGGCTTGCAACATGGGCCTCAGAGTGCCCCGCGATGGCCCCAAGAGGCTTCCAATACGCGACGCTCTCAGAGCGAAGGATGTTGGTGGTTGACTCTCGTCGTCGTCGTCGTCGTCGTCGTCGTCGTCGTCGTCGTGGTCGTGGTCGTCGTCGTATTGCTCGTCATCGTCGTCGTGCCTTTCTTCGCCACCTATATATTTGCATACGCATGCTACTTGTTATCCTCTTCCTCCGGCTCCCCTTCCTCCTCATCCTCCTCCCCCTCCTGCTCATCATTGCCCGCCTTCCTCCCTTTTGCTCCTTCCACCCTCCTTTTCCGCATGCCTCCTCTTCTCTCAACTCCGATTGCTCCACCTCAACAGCGGATGTGGATCACTGCTGGGCCAGATGATGCTACACATCCCTGATCGGGTCAACTCGCCTGGCGACTGTTTTGGGATGGGCTGGTGGGGATACGCGAAGCGAGAACAATTTTGGAGAGAGTGCATCACGGGCACAAGAGGGCCTCAAGCTGGCCGTCAAGGACCTCCGAGAGCCTAAGATGGTTTTCACAGGGCACGCGGACGGCCGAAGGTGGCTTCTTCACGTCTCCCAGCGACGCCCCCAAAGACGGCAAACACGGCCCCAAGACGCCTTATAATCCTCCGACTTTTCAGCATCATCCTCACCACCGCCCACATCACCACCACCACCGCCATCATCACCTTCTTACTAAGCATAATCATCATCTTCATCAACACCATCATCTTCCCACTCATCATCATCATCATCATCATCATCATCATCATCATCATCATCATCATCATCATCATCATCATCATCGCCATCCAGATTATAATCCGAGGAAGAACGAGGAGGAGGAACGAGGAGGAGGAGGAGGAGGAGGAGGAGGAGGGAGGAGGAGGAAGAGGAGGCGGAGGCGGAGGAGGACTAGGAGGAAGAGGAAGGGGAGGCGGAGGAGACTAGGAGGAAGAGGGGGAGGGAGGACTAGGAAAACCATGGGCGTCGGGGCCAGTGAGGGAGGGAGGGAGGAGAGGGAGGGAGGGAGGGAGGATCGGAACGGAGGAGGGAGGAGGAGGAAGAGGGAGGAGGAGGAGGAGGAGGAGGAGGCGGAGGCGGAGGAGGACTAGGAGGAAGAGGAAGGGGAGGACTAGGAGGAAGAGGAGAGAGAATTTCGAAGGATTACCCATTGGACAACCACGACAACGCCGGGCCGATAAACCGATCAACCAATAAACCGATAAACCGAAACATCCGATATACCGATAAACTGATAAACCGATAAACTATTTCGGATAAACCGATAAACTGATAAACCGATAAACCGATAAACCGATAAACTGATAAACCGATAAACTGATAAACTGTGCTGAGATTCGGGCACGCATGCGATGAGTCGGTTTAGTGGTTGATCGGTTTATCGGCAGATCGACCGATAAACCGATATGATCATATCGGTTTATCGGTCGATCTGCCGATAAACCGATCAACCGAAATAGTCAATCGGTTTATCGGTTTATCGGTTTATCGGTTTTATGTTCGTGTCCTGCGGCTGCAATCCGGTATCGGTACCTTTCGGTATCGGTACCTTTCGTTTTTTCGAAAACGGATGTTGCAAAGGCTTGTCCCCTTCTTAAATGTTTCCGATGTTTACGGAATCTGGAATGGCGGTATCGGTACCTTTTGGTTTCCCCAGGCCCTCGGCTAAGGGCCTCCCTAAATGAGGCCCGAAAATAGATGGGGTCGGAAGATCGCCGCGCATCGCGAATACATCGGCGATGCATCGGCGATGCATCCGCGACGCCGGCGATGCATCGGCGCTGTCGGCGTGGCGAAAGTCGGGCTCCGCATCGAGCTGCACCGCCGATGCATCGGCGACGCGCCGCGATCCTCCGACCCGGTGTGCTCCGACCTCTCCTGGGAAGCCTCGAACGGCTGCAATTCTCTTTTTTTACGGCCGTCCAGTGTCGGTGTTCCGGCCCATCAGGGAGTCCCCGTTTACTGGGAGGCCTGGCGATCTTGCCGACCCACGGTGCCGATGCTGACCCCGTCCTCGTGCGGGCGTTGGCAGGACTGGGCTCGATGGGACTTGATTTAGTGATGTGTACTCCAGGAAGCCCCCCCCCCCCGCCCTACTCCACTAACCAGAACTGCCTCCTGGGGAAAAGGAGAAGAGGCCGCCCGAGACAGTCTTGGAGCCCATGGTGCTAAAGAATTGCGAGAATGTTGCTGGCTCCCAAGGGCGGTGCAGCTCGCTGGTGGCAACAAATGGTCAAGGCATGGGCGGCGTGCTGAAGGCATCCGCTTCCGTGTACGTTTTCACCCATTGCTCACGCGCTCACGCGCTGTGGGCTGTGGCCGGCGCAAAGCTTCTGGACTGGAACTGCCGTCACCTGAAAAACACAAATCACGGCAGACTCAACCCCCCGACGTCATGGATTTGTGTATTATGTCGACCCCCAGAGGTTCCGACCCCTTCCCTGGGACCCGTTTCCCATCCCGAGTAGAGTTTTGACGGTCCCGAGGCCCAGTGAGGGCCCCCAGAGGCCGATATTAGCGAAAAACCTCTCGTAGTGATTTTTTCATGACTCGAGGGGGTCTTGGGACCTGGTTTAGTGATTCTGGCTTTGTGTTGGGCTTCGTGGCCCAATCGCTCCAGACGCCCCGACGGAGCGTCGTCCTTCCCGAATGGGGGGGTGTGGGGGGGCGAGCGGGGAATGGTGGAGCTCAATCAAGCTACTGTCAGAAGGAACCCCGCAGAGGGTGAGGGCGAAGTTCAAGACAATAATGTCCTGATGGGAGGGTGCGCAACAACAAAGACCTAACACCGGGAATTGGGACTACTGATCTGGACTGGACTGGAAAACGCGGGTTCTGTCGAGACCCTCTTCGGGTTTCCCCACGAGTTCGATTCTCTCGAAGAACGCTGCCACACGCTGAGTGGAAAAAGAGAGGAGAACAACCAGGCCGCTGGGCCTTTCCCTGGAGAGGCTCGGGGTTGGCGGTCCTGTTTGATTGATACGGTGCTCAGATCAGAACGCTGAGGCAGTCTCGCGCGGCTGAGGGAACAGCATGTGTCCACAAATGTTTGCGGGTGCGGGTCGAGCTGTGCTGGGCGCTTGACCCATTGGAGCACAGGCTTCGCCAACGCAATTCAAAACTGATTACCCCCGAGAAAAACATATTCGGACGGAACGCGTCCGCAACTAAGCTCCAGTCAAAAGGTCGGACTGCGCCAACCACTTCCGCCACTGCTCGTAGTTCAGCGCTGGAGGACCTTTGCTCTTGCCTCGAGTTCAACAATTGATATGCACATGTAGGAGGGGCATCAAGCTAGTTCAACCAGACACGTGACGGACATCCACTGCTTCTATTCAATTTAACATGATGGGGAGCATGCGCAACACATGTCCAGCATGACGCGTTAAGGCGCACATCAAATACGATTCGAACACATAGCAATTTCTCGGAACGCCTGGATATGATATGATGCCAACGCGCGACCCTCAATGACCCATTCCTGCGATACGTGCTACATTCCCTGTGTTTGGAACGTCGCGTGTGTGTGTGTGTGTGTGTGTCTGTGTGTCTGTGTGTCTGTGTGTCTGTGTGTCTGTGTGTCTGTGTGTCTGTGTGTGTGTGCGTGTGTGTGTGTGTGCGTGTGTGCCTGTGTGCGTGTGTGCGTGCGTGCGTGTGTGCGTGCGTGCGTGTGTGCGTGTGTGCGTGTGTGCGTGTGTGCGCGTGTGCGCGTGTGCGTGTGTGCGTGTGTGCGTGTGTGCGTGTGTGCGCGTGTGCGCGTGTGCGCGTGTGCGCGTGTGCGCGTGTGCGCGTGTGCGCGTGTGCGCGTGTGCGCGTGTGCGCGTGTGCGCGTGTGCGCGTGTGCGCGTGTGCGCGTGTGTGCGTGTG